GTGATTGCCAGGTCGAAAAAAACTTTGGCAGAGGACTAAGATCCTGTGAGGTGAAGCGTCCCGGCTATCGGGAGCGTGTGGTTCGAGCGGGCGGTGCGCCGGAGGCGAATGCGGAGCTGCCAGCTTCTCTGGCATATGTAAGAGCTTGGGAGGAGACGTTGGGGGTGGGAGTTGTGGGATGTGGAGAATAGTTTTGTGGGGGAGAGGGAGAGAGAGAGAGAGAGAGATGTTGCGTGGGGAATGTGAGTGACATGTGTTGGTTGTGCGTGGCAGAGACGTAGCCGGCCGGGGCAGAACAAGAGCAAGAGTGAGAAGTTCGGGCCTGTGCACGAAGACAAGGCGGTGGCGTATCCCATGCTTCACGCGAAACCGGCAGCAACGCAGATGTTCACGGGGATGCAAGGGACGTCGCCGGTGATGTTGAGCCGGGTGTATGGCGCGGGTTCCGCATCGATACGTTCGGGGCCGCAGGGTGGTGTGGGCGGGAGCGTGGGGGGCGGGTCGTGGAACAAGAGGCAGAAGGAGGAGGAGGGTCGGAGCGGATCGCGGTCGATGTCGCGGCCAACGAAGGTGATGGGAGCGTCGGATGGCGGGCAAGGAGCGGAGAGGTCAAGCGCGTTGGGTGGAGGAGGGAGCAGAAGCGGGGCGGGTGGGAACCTGAGCAGGGAACGAGGGGTGGGAAGGGGTCGGGACGGCGAGGGGGGGCACATTGAAGGGGAGGGGTTGAGCAGGCGGAGCGCGAGAGCGGAAGCGGGGGAGAAGAAGGAGTCGTTGAAGCGGGAGGGAAGCCAGAAAGTGGAACAGGGGTACACGGTGGCGACAGAGGGGCCGTATGGGCGGAACGTGGGTGCGGTGGAATTGCATGGCAGGGAGGCGACGTGCAAGGTTCCGATGGCTGTGAAGTCTCTGACAACGGTGACGTACGTATGAGAAGCGGTTGTGCAGAGTGGTTGTGGAGTTGGTGTTGGAGGTGGGCGTGATTGTTGTGGGGGGCAGGGGTTGGAGGCGTGTTGAGGTTGGTGGGTTTGGGAGGATGTGGTGGGCGAAGTGGAGGGCTGGAGTATGTGGATGGTGAGAGGGGTGAAGTTGGCTTTGTTATGGGCGATCCTTGGAGAAGTGCGGTGGTGCAGGGAAGGAAAGGAAGGCTGAGAAGCGATTGAAAGCGGAGAGGAGTGGGGCGGTGGATGAGGTGGTGAATTGTAGTCATGCGCATTTAGAGGTGAGGGCAGGCTGAGCGTGTGACTAGGGGAAACGGGAGCGCATTGCGCGTAACGACGACGCGAGGCATGAGCAGCGGGGTTGGATTTGAGCATGCATCGGGTGACGGCGTGGTGAAGGTCGCCGAGTCATAGGGGAACGACAGTGGGTGTGTGGATGGTGATGAAATGAGGGAGAGGGTTGGGCAAGGAGTGGGGGAATAGGTGGGGATAGCTATTTTTGGGTGGAATGTGTAAGATATGGAGTTGAAGGTAGGGTTGTGAGAAGGGTGTACGGGAGTTCTGGGCGAGCTGCGTGCACATGGAGGTCAGACGGAACAGGTGCGGATGTGTTATTGCGGGCCTCTGCTTCGTGTCGGTTACCGTGACACGCGTGCGTTGATTTGGCCTTTAGGACCGCCGGCTTCTTTTACAAGGATGTCGGCAGTGGGGAAAATGATTAGGGATGGGTTTCGTGGATTCCGAGCCTATGTGGAGATCGGCGGAGTGGATGGAAATGAAGTGATCATATAATTGCGAAATCTTGAAGAGCCGGTGACTGCATGGTTTGTGTGGTCTTTTCAGTGTTCGAGGTCGTGGCTGGAGCCACGGGTTTGAGCATGTTGCAGGTGTTTATGTTGCTACTTGGTCGTTTGACCCGGGTTGACGTGAGTTGGATGCAAGATACATCGATGCAGGGACGCTGTCATTTTTGTGTTGGTGTCTTTGCTTTTGTATCTTTTATTCTCTGTCTTGCTTTTGTTAGCCTCTGTGCTCACGATTGCATCCATTTTTTTTCTGGATCCTACCTCGGCTGCAACTGGTCTTTTTGATCACCGTTTTGTGGTCGTTTGATTGGAATGGTGGGCGATTGGGAAGGATTGCGTTGTCATTGCTGCTTTACCGGGATGTTAATATTCTATGGGTTGTATCATCTATCAGCGGCATCCTGTGGGTGGGATGTAAATTTTTTCGGTGAAATGTTTGTGAAAGCCGGTAGCAGTTACGTTTTCTTTCTGTGTCCTGCTTTTCACATCATGTTGTATTATTGTAAACTATCATTTTAAAACTTGATTTATATGTATATTTTTTAGTATCGTCACATTCTTCTCATTCTGAAATGAATTCTTGAATGAAGTTGTTGCGTTGTTCCATGAATGTTATTTTCATGGAAAATCACTTCGTTGTGCTGACTAGTTTTTGTCATAGTTCGTTTAGGTATGGCATGGTACGTTTGGTTTCTGCATGATGGGTTGCTTATTTTTTGTCATTTGGAACTAATTGTGTTGCGTTAGATTTCGTGGAATTTATATGTTCGGGGTGTACAGTATGTCTGCAACGACTTTTTCAAATTTTTCTTTTTGTTTCATATCTGGTTTTCTTTGTCCACCTATTCTATTGGCATGATATTATGCTTGAGTAGAGTATGGTTGAATATCTGAAGGATGTCATTTGTCAGTTAAGATTTGACTTGGATTTATTTTTGAAATGTTAAGGTCCTACCTTTATCATGTCTGAATTTAATTGCATTTCCATTTGTTTGGTCTATTTTCGAGATGTCCTTATCAGATTGAGATGTCATTAATTGTTTTTGGATACTAGGATGTTGCATTCGCATGTGTCATGATTCTATGTAATGACCGGATTGGAACTGAGCAGAGGCCTTCATCATTTGAAGTTTAGAATGGTAGTCTGGGTCAGTTCTTGTGGTGAAACTTCTGGGAGGTTCAAAATGAGTAGTGTTTGGATTGACCGAATCTGTGACATCTGGATTTTCATCAGTGAACTCTGTCAGTATTTGGAGCACAACTACCTCTGTATCCAACAGTCTGAATATGGCTTGTCCCAATTTCATGTGGAGTGTCTTAAATTCCAAAGTTCGATCAATAATGAAGGATTCTGAGTTAACCTCTGTATATGCATCCCAAGTAGTATTTCTTTGAACACTAGGATGTTGACACATTATAGAAATGATACTTTTAATTACAAATTGCTATTATTGTTGTGAAAGTGATACTCTCAAATTAACTTAGAATCGTATGGATTAATTTGATTCTAATATAAGAATGGCATACTAAGAAAGTATGTTAGACAACATAATTTGAATTGTGGGTTTTGTTTTGTTTGGTTATTTTTGTTTGTTTGTTGTTGTGTGGTTGGCTTATTATGATGTGTTGCAAGTCAATAAGGAGAAAATCAGTTGAAGTTTATTCAATTTTGTCATGCAGTTGTTTAAGAACTACAAAGAATTCTATTAAATAATTACTTATAATTATCCCTATTTAAGTTCGACATTTTATTTTTAGATGGTTATTTTGCTTAATTTAGATGCATAATGTGACCTCAACATTCAAGGGTAGTAATATTTACTTTATCTATCTTACTTCAGTTTGGGATGTTTGTACAAGTTATAATGAAATAAAATTAAAAATTAGATTCAACTCAGCAATGGCTTGTATTGAAATTTAGTCATGAAATTATATAAAAAAGTAGGGGCTCTTTACACTATGTTTTTGAATCCAAACCATATGAAGGAATTTGGCCTTTGATTTATCAATTGGAATTTTTTTTGTGCCTTGGTATTAATTGTTTCTTTTGTTTTGTATTTGGAAGATAAATAAAGGTCAAGAACAAGCACTTGTTGATTAAGACTATAAAGCAAGTCCAATCCCTATTTTGTCATGAAACCTTTTGTATAAATTTAAAATATTGCCATCATATTAAGTGGAGAAAGTATTTTTAAATCTTGTCAAAAAATAAAGAAGCATATTTCACATAGGTTGTACTGTTTATTAACATGTTGTATTTTCACATAGAATTGTCTTCTAATATCATCACATTCACATTTAAACCTTCTTGATGAACATTGTCATTGATAATATTATGTATCATCTAAAAGATATGGAAGGCATCAAATGAGATAAGGTAATAACTTTATTCACAAAAGATAATATTGGATCATCATGCCAAATCGCTATTTCTTCTTTAATGCTATATTGCCTAATAATTTGCTTCTTGAGCCTAAGAATGAGCCTAATTTAGGCCACTGATGCATTGTAAGAAATAAAAGAAGAGATTAGATTTGGTATGTAGAATGTTTTCTCAAGATTGAAGACTTAATAAGATGTGTGAATAACTTGTGTTGTCAATTATGTAGCTAATTGGTAAATTTATCTATTTTCATCTATTTCTATCTATTCATATTATCTGAGTATTTATTTGAGTATATATATATATATATATATATATATGATATTATTCTTTTTTTTTTTAGGTACAAGTTCCACAAAGAGTGATGATCGCATGTTGAGGAAGTCTAAGATGCAACAAATTGTATTTTTTAATCTTTGTTTCTTTTGAAGATAATTGATAGAACTTTTCTACTATCAATAATGTTCCATTTGAAAGCAAGAAGATTACTTTGACATTTGAACATTGTTCAAGCCTATGTAACTTTCTTCAAATAAAATATTTGTTTTATTATTAAGAGTCATTTCTACCTATAATAAAATCATCATATATCAAGAGACTCTTCTAAGATTGTGATACTTAACATATTGCATCTTACCATCTATTTAAAAGAAAACATGTTGTTATTGAAGGTCTTTATTTTTATTATATTATCTTCAAGGTTTGAATAATTACAATGTATTATTTGATAATTTCACAAATAATAGCTCTTAAGTTGAATTTATTGCTTGTTAGTTGTCCATTTCTTTTACAAAATATATATATATATATATTATAAAAAAAGATAAATGATAGAATGTAACTTTTAATGAACTTCATTTCTTTTATAACAAAAAATTGATTGATTATTCATCTTAGTTTCAATAGATGTAATTAATGAAATATTTTAATTTTCTTTATTGTATTTTCAAGATTCTTGGCAAGCTTTTATGTCTATTTACTAATATTGTATCTTCATTAATAAACAAGTTGTTTTAATCTAATTCAATAGTGTCTTAAGTCTAAGATTTTTTTGCCTTGAATTCTTAATTATTGTCTACTTCTAAAAGAAGAGGTGGCATTTTTCTTCCTTCTAAAATATTCATTGTCTTATATGACTAAAAAAGAAAAAATCATGAAATATATGATGGATCGTTATAGACTCCAATAATTATGATCAATAAGAAATTAGATTGATTTTTTTACATATAAAAAATGGTCCAAGACTACAATAATCAACCTTATTATTAGAGTAGTTAGTTTTGATATTAAGACAAAATAAGTATATCATATTATCAACGTAGAATTGAGATACTTTATTGTAATAGGCATCTATATTTATCTTTTGTTATTCTTGAGCTCCTTTTAATTGTATCTTCATTGTTGCATGTAGTTTTGATCGATGATTTGTAAAGTCTTTTATCATAGGATTATCAACTTTTGGAAAGTCAAAAGTATCAAGTCATAGACGATAATCATAATTAATATAGAAAGGTGTATATTGAATAGAAGAATGTATTTTGTTATTATAAGAAACTTTGCTAAAAAAAAAAAAAAATCTAATCATCTTAATTATAGTCAATGATATATTCTAAGTATTTCTCCAAAACTTGATTTATTCATTCTATTTATCTATCAATTTGAAGATGAAAAGCCAAAGATAAATTTACATCCACTTTTAGAATCTTAAAAAGAATTCTCTAAAATCTTGAGATTTTCTATTTGATATAATATTCCTTTGCAATCTATGATAGCAATAGATATTATGATTTTTTTTTTTTTTTTTTTTTTTTTTTACATATGATAGATTTTGTACATAATACAAAATGTGTTATCTTAGTGAAATAATCTACTATCACAAATATAAAGTCATATAGACTTGAGGTTAAAATCCATAGAATCAAAAGATCATAATTGTTTTAGTATAGAAAGTAGGTGTAGAAGTTTGCAAGGTTGATGATGAGGAGTTTTTGAACTTGAAAAAATATCACATCATTGTACAAAATCTTTAACAACCTTCTACATTTAAAGCCACTAAAAATCTCTTGAAATTAATTCTAAGATCTTATTATATTGAAAATATGTTGCAATTAGAAAGTTTTCATGAGCTTGAAAAGCTTACAATTGTATTTCATCTTTTGAAACAAATAATCATCTTTCAAAATAGAATACATTGTTCTTGAATTCAAATTTAAAGTAACTATGAAATTTTAAAGATTTTTTTTAATATCATAAATAAAAAAAATTAAAAAAACATACTTCATTTAATTTATTTTAGAAAAGTTGAATCAATAATTAATATTGATTTCATTACTCAAAGATGAAATTGCTCTAGCTTTGAGAAATTCACATATTGTTGATCAAAAGCTATATCTCTATCTTTTGACTTAAAATAAGAATGCCTAGAAAAGACATCAAACAAACTTTATTATTTTTCTAATTGATAAGGTATCTTGAATTTGAATATTAACAAAGTCATATTCCAAAAAGCTTGGCAATGATTCAAAACACATGTTGACATGAAATATTTGAAATTCTTATAATCCGTATATATAATAACTAGATCTAAAGTATTTTTTAGATAATAACACTATTCTTGAAATAAATCTACAATTATAAGAAGTTATTTGCGGTGGATATCATAATTGATTACAATTATAAAAAAAATTAAATGAAAAGCTAATAGGTAAAATTTATCATTTACTCCTATTTATAATAATATGATACTCAAAACAAAGCTTGATGCATTTTTTTCCACTAAAATACCTAAAACAATTTGACACAATATAAGATTAGTGTAAAAACAAAAATTATCTTCAATGCTTCAAATAATGTCTCTACTACATTATTCTATTGAAATTTGACTTGTAAAGATACACATATAAATAGAGTTGTAACTTGAGAAAAATTCTTAATGAAGATCTTATTTCAATGGACAAATCCTAAAAAACATTAGACATCTTTTATCATTTTTAAGATCTTATAAGTCATTATAATTTCAAATGTTTTAAGATCTATTATAAGTTTATCATTGAAATGATGTATCTTAAGAATTCAACTTAAGTAGTATAAAGTATACACTTTTTTATCTTAGTATATAGTCTTATATTTCTAAGTTTTTATAATAAACAAAAAATAATAAGTTTATGCTTT